AATCCGCGTGAACACGCTTCTGGGGTTTTGTGAGGCCTTTTACCGTATATCGGCACCGAGACATGCATGCGTGCATGTCCAGGCATATCCCCAGGCATGTGTGCCTGATTTAAAATGATCATACCCGAAAGCCTACGCTCAATTTGTGGCTATCCAGTAATAGTATATCCCATTTGTCAATGTATTCGTTAAGTGAGCACTTCGCGCTCGTCATTTTCGAATCCAGAGAATTCCAGATGCGTAATGACCGAGCGCTGAGAGTGGCATTAGTCCTGGCGAATCCCCGGATTCAACGGACTGATGATTTTCGAACTACGTCTACTGCCCTGAAGCGTATATAACCTGTATCACCCCGCAATGCTGGCATAATTAGAAACTGCATCAATTACAACAACTGCCGCCAATCGTTGAAACGGTAAGCGCTCCAGAAATACCGACCATGTGCCGTACGGCAACGTATGATGACGAAGTGTGCCATGAATAGGGCACATTTTGTCCTATGAAGGACATACACAACGACGGTGTGCGGTGAAGAGCGTGACACAATGATTTGTGGCCCTAAAGAGGGCCGTTGGGATTCGTTTCTCTTGGGAGGGAGAAACGGTGTTCAGACGCCGAAACCGTACAGAGTATGGCCCCGGCGTCTCAGCGCGAACAGCACGTCAATTGTCGTGACAGTTTTGCGCTTCGCATACTCGCAGTACGTGACTGCGCTGCCGATGATGAGATCAAGAAATGCCTTCAAGACGCCACGAACTTCCTCATAGATGAGGCCTGAGATACGCTTCACGCCACCGCGACGAGCCAGCCGTCGTATTGCTGGCTTTGTGATTCCCTGGATGTTGTCGCGCAACACCTTGCGATGACGTAACGCGCCTCCCTTGCCCAGACCTTTGCCGCCTTTGCCGAAACCGACCATGTTCGCTTCGTCACACAGTACACTAGTGATGACGGGCAGCCTTCTGGCTCGCTATTTATAGGCCTCATCTGCTCTACCGGCCAACGATCGCTGTGCACATATGCCAAAAAAAGTAAACATACAGTCGTGCGCGGGCACGCGGGCCAAGCCGCTTTTGGCGCGATAAGTATGAGATTGTGCCGTTGTTTTGCTCTTTCCCGCTCCCTCTGCTGCACTCCTACACCCTTCTTTTATCGCAAGGAACAAACTGTTGCTAGCTGCGAGTTCATTCGTTTCGATGCCCATAACGGGACGGAGTGACAAAGTGGAGGCACAAGGTGACTGCTCATATTAATACGGGGTGA